TACACAACAAAAACATTATAAATAAATCTACCTACAACTGATACGCACCTCATCAATGAAGAGCACTCCTGGAACAATCTCTGCCTTCCCTTCCTCTCGCCATTCAGCAACCTTTGCATTAATTTGCTCCCGTACTTCTGCCTTGATTTCCCCAGTGTCCCCTATGGAATGAAGAGACATTTTGTATTACTTTTACACGGTTCTCCCATCCTCTCCACCTATTACTATATTAAAATAAATTGTTACATTAACTTTAAGGTGTTCATGCTTGGTATTAATATTGGTATAAACACAGTAAGCGGAAAGAATGCTTGAGAAAGTATTTTTATGTTGTAATTTAGACGTTTTATTGTACATAACGCAAAAACTTTCTACGAACAACACTGTAGTAACATTAGAGATGTGAAAACTTTTTCCTGCCATCCTAACATGTTATAAAAACATGGATGAAACATGGCCTATATTAGTGTTGTTACATGAACAGTAAGTGAACAGAACAGGTGTTGGCCAGCCTGAAAACCAGTTAAACATCAAGAATAGGCATTGGTCCTATTAAATCAAAAGTTATCTAGGCCTCAGCTAACACAGACACTTGAATCTCCATTGTGGTTCATGTACTACTAGTTTATTATTTATCCACAGCATCAAAAGAGAGAATGATAGATTGGGAAAAATGAGTAAGTGGTCATGGCCTGTTTTAAAGTACTTCTGTCACTGAAAACAGAGAAACTCTTCAACCTGAACAGCCTCATCAATGAACATGGGACTTCCTGGGTCGTAGCTCCGTGCAGTCTGGTAGAAGTTTGCCGATGTTTCTGAGGTACCTGCTGCTACAACCCAGAGGACAGCCATCTTCATATTCACTGCTGTGAGAACCTCAAATCCTGCCATGGAAACTTGTTCTCACCCGAAAAAAGTGCCAGAAAGCCGTGAGTTCGACTGTTGATGACATCAATTTCATGCAGTGTGACTGTGTGAACCACTTCTTTTCGCTTCTGCAGCTCACCCTCCGGACACTGCACGAACCTCGTCTGTGGACCCGTGGCATCGTAATCTCTTGCACGCGTGAAGGAGCGGCCTAGCCTACTGATTTTTCCAGTTGCTTTGTCAATTGTTACCACATCACCTGCCTGAACCTGCAAGCAAAAGTTTGTGAGTCACTCTGATGCCTGAGAAGTATATACAGTAACGGAAATCACAATCTCTTCCTATCCTATCTATGCTGCTTTCCTACAGTAAATATTTTTTTGATACACATGCCATGCTGTGTTATCATTCTGCAGGAGACTACAAATGACAATATTTTACTGAAATTATCCTAGAATATACAAACTACTCACCCCCAGTCATATACCACGGACCTCGAATAATGACACCAAAAACATTAGTAGCATACATACATGTTGCAAACAAATGCATTGACATGAAGCCAAGTCAAACACTGAGCTGGATGCATTGGTACAGTCACACATATCACTAGTTTACTTCAGTATGCAGATGGATCAGACACTCAAATTTCAAAACCAAACCAAAATCATGGTGACAATAATGACTCCCTAAATCATCTCAATTACCTTCAATTTGAAACCGTACATACCAGCTTTAATACAATGAAATTTAGAACAGTGAAACTAACGCGCTTGTCACAGATCCCTACAATTCAATGACGCCATCATGAACTACCTCAACAAGATATATCAATGGTATGGAAGTCAATACTAATCCTGCTTCTATAAGAATGAACGTTCTTATCCAAAGAATTTCTCTTAGTATGACAAATATTTAGGTCAATACTCACTTTTTCCTTCATGAGAGATTCAATCATCTTGTTACCTAGGTCATAAATAGTCTCCATCTCAGTAGTCTTCAGCGTCAGTTTCCCGACCTTCGCACCCACCCCAGTGGCAGGCCTGTCCACCTGGATCTCCACAACCTCTCCCTCAATGATCTCTGTCTCTTCCCTGTAGCAACAGAAAGTAATTAACTCTCAACATAATTGAGAGAGACAATTTAGCTAAGGAACATGAAATGGGGAAAACTGGTAGAAGTTGGGTGACAATATTCTGCGATCCATATTTATATACAGTAAAGGACGCTTCTGTAATCAAGAAAACTTTGGACTACAAGCTTCACCCATTTCCTAAAGCGGTACTCCAGATCTCACAGAAAGTTGTTATGCCATTCATATTATGCAGATAAGATTAGTTTCATGTGTTATATTTCCAATACTGGTAAGAGCAAACGGTTACTCTGCACAGCATTTATGTGACAAGTCTGTTCACGCTTGTAATAAAATACAATTTCAAATTGTCAAAAATGTAGACACTATACAAATAACAGTCAAATTTTCAAGAAACAGTAACATCTGGCAGTTCACTGCGCAAGTCCAGGTCTGCTCTTCACTGTTACCAGAAACTAATGACCAATGTGACCACTTGACCTGCTGGTCTAGTGGTAAGGCACTGGGCTCTCACCAACAGGGTTCTTTACCAGGTCCACATTTAACTGTAGGTCCCCTCTACTGACATCTTCATAAGTATCACAACACTGGGAGAATGGAATCTGTCACACTAATACCCCCTACTTCAGAAATAAAATGTAGGCTTGAGCAGGGTCAGCAGAGGCCAGGAAAGGTCATCACAGACCATCACTTCAGGCATTAGAAACCAATTGACATTAGCAAAAATGTGGCATATGAATGAATATTACTTCTTCTTATGCAAAGCAAAAACAGGGCAAATGGTGAATTAGCATAATGTGAAATTAAAATTCTTTGAGTTTATCTTTCAGAATATAGCCTTTTAATGCACCTATTACATTTTTCCCACAAGTAAATTAAATCAAAGAAATCCCTACAGAAACACAATGCTTCAGAGTTACATGTGCCTCATCACAGGCAATATGAAACAGTGTGGCACGTGACATACTCACTTGATTCGAACTCCAATCGACTTACGAATTGCTTGAGTCAAAGCTTCCGTCTTGCTCATCTCAAGACTGTATATCTCGGATCCTGCCATGCTGGTGAACGGAGTGTCTATTCCTAGAGCTTGGGCCATTGCCATTGCAATTGCAGTCTTACCTGACACAGAACATGAAACTGTTCAGTTAGAGGAACAAACAGGTCCAGTACATAATACAGCAAGTGACGTAAAAACAAGTGAAGAAACATCTATAAACAGGGTTTCTGGTTGTTTAGTTGAGGTTTAACGATGCTGTCAACAGCTCAGACTAAACAGTGTTAAAAAACAAAATGAATAATAAATTGGTAAAAATGTGAAAGGAAGTAGTGAAGGCCTAATTAAGGTACTATCCCAACATTTGGTCAGAGGGACTTACTGAAACCATAAAAACCTTGGTGAAGATAGCTTCTTCATACTAACCAGTGCCTGGTTGCCCAGCCAGCAAAATGGCTCTCCCAGCTATCTTCCCTTCCTTGATCATTTCCAGTACGACTCCCGCCGCTCGACGAGCAGTCAACTGCCCCACCATTCCCTGTGACACCTGCAGAGACAGGACAACTCCAGTTCAGGCTACAATGGTATAAAGTACAAGCAGGTGCAGCACCTCCTCTGGACTGTTCCACCATCTTCAGTTTAGTTTTTCTGCCAGACTCACAAGTCTTCAAGCTGCATAACCACCTTCTCAACTGTACATAGACCAGTCAAGTGACAAGCAACACACTTCAAATGGAAATCAGTAAATGAGTACTCAACACTGCAATCCCCTCTTGGCCGGTTCATATATGAAAAGTCGGCATTCTTTATAACATTTTTCAAACTTACATGCCTTGGTTCAAGACCATCATCAAGCCCGAGCCCACGGATATGAGAATGAGCACCAATCCGCTCAATTCTCGTGACTTCTCTCACTTCTTGTACTTTAACTGCTGCAGCTGCCTGTAAACATACAAGATTAGAAAACATAAAAATACACGATATTCTAACTTATTATTTCGACTTGATCTTAACACTGTCTTCCTTCAGCAGCTGATATTTAAACACCAGTCATGAAGTTCTCTGATAGTTTGGAAGCTGAAGTCTGCATAACTGGTATCATAAAGCTCGTCAGTGGATTCTAACTTGAGCCAAATTCAAACAGTCACAACTTACTTCTCAAATGCACTTTAATACTATCCTCCCATCTACACTTAGGTCACCTAAGTTCCATTTCTCATTAGGTTTTGATAATAAAAACTTTATTGTGCATTTAACACATACCACCAGACAAATTAACCCATTATGACTGATGATTAACTATAAAAAGAAAACAATAAGAACCTTATGTTACAAGCCAGAATATCAACATACACAAGAAGGTATTTTGTCCCCAAGTAACATAAACCAGTTTTCTGGTATTTTTAAAGTCATTACCATACTTCAGGCAAGATAAATTAATTACAAAAAAGCAAAAATCCTTTCCATCAGCACCATTGTATCAAATGCTAACCCCACTTTAAAATCAGAAGGGTGTTCGCTTTGCAAGAATCAAGTTATTCAATACTCTTCCAGCTAATACTGAACGTTTAAATCATGATATAGAAAGAAGCATTGGATGAAAATCTTTTGTCTCGCTCCTTCTTTTCTCGAGAAGAAATTACTTAAATTAACAGTTCACAAACAATTATGTAAATAGCTATAACAACAATGTATTTACATCTAAATTGGTATTAATTACTGTGTTTGGAAAACACATATTCAATACATTATCCCTAAACTAAGTTCGGCATTATTTGTTATGAGGGCAGTTACAGCACTCATGAAAACAGAAACTTTAAAATTAGTTTATTTTGCTTGCTTCCAATCCATCATGTCATATGATTTAATAGAATAGAATAGATTTACATTCCATAGATCCTTTATAGGCCTAAGCTAAAGATGTATAAAAGGTCATAGCACAAATACTTGTTTCGAGTATGTATTTGTACTAGAAACAAGTATTGTATTTGTACTATGGCCTGGTCTACATCCTTAACTTAGGCCTATAAAGGATCTATGTAATGTAAATAAATTCTATTCTATTCTATGCAAACATTAATAAAATCTTTGGCTATCAGCCGTGTCTCTATACCCATCATCAGGGTTATGATGGGGACAAAGAATCGGTAATTTTTAATCGATGCTGTGTTCGTATTATAGAATAATCCAATTCCGTAGCTTATACTGTGGAGGATATGTGGAATGCAAATAAATTATACTTTATTATTCTGAAATGCAATGTCTCCAGAAACAAGTATCCTGTTACGGAACCACATAAAAAGTTTGAATTAAAATTGCTGTGAAAACGTTTTGTATTTATTTCAGTATGTTTAAATAGCACATTCTGTAGTGTAGAAGACTAGATATACGCTAAATAATCTTAAAATATAATATTATAAAACTACTCACCGCCATTCCTTCCAAATTTCAGGTTCGGTTTAACAGTCTGAGCAATAGAAATCTTCTCCCCAGAGCAACCAATGCTTGAAAATGAAAAGGTGGACGGTCACAGAAAGAATGGCGTAAAAACCCGAGAAAAACGAAAAATGCCGGAAAATAATGTAAATACAATTTAGAACTCAACATTTATAAACACGCTAGGGACGCAAACCTTTGACATTGGGGGAATTTAATGTGGTTAGAATGTAGGCTTAAGTATCGTTTCAAAAATATAATAAGCCAACCAAGCCTCACTTTATAGGACTAAATTATACATTACTCCATAAATTTGTATTAGGTTTATCAACACATTTATAGAACTAAAATTGTGTGCAAGGGGCTTTATAAGTTTCATTCCAGATTAATTTGCTTTAAGTCTTCATTTCATTATGTGACTGTAGGCAATTACAATGTTCTGGTAATATACAGCTTTCAACAATTTGGCTTCACTAACATTGCCATGCCTCTTGTTTTAGTTTTATATTTTGAGTATGGGAGAAAGAAGGATAAATACATTAAGTAGCACTTATAAGTGTAGAAGTCCAGAAATTATAAGTTATCAGGATAAATGTACTGCATTTGTGAATCAGGCCTGATACCTAAATTATGTACACATGATTTTATTTTGGTTCTGGGGCCCACCCAGCCTTAAGAGACAGTATTTCACAAGGAACATATATTTGCTTTCCACATGTTGGTTATTTTAGATTTGACATGCCACAGAATCACATGATAGCTTAGTCAGTATAGTGGCTATGCTATGGGCTCAATGAGCAAGGTTTGATTCCTGGTAGGGTAGGATTTTCCCTTTGCCACAATGCCCAGGCCAGTTTCTGGGCTCACCCAGCCTCCTATCCAATGCATACCAGGTTCCTTCCTCAGGCATGAAGGTGCATGCTTCCCTCCATTTAGTGTCATGGTTAAAAAAGTGCAGAGCACTGCATGGTACAGGGCTTGTTTGGCACAACAGACATTATCTTCAGCTCCTATAAAAACAAAAAGACATTGAATTTCAAGACACTATCTTAATATTAAGCAATACATTTTATGAATTTTATTTTGCCCAACAATAAGTATGATACAAGAGTTCTTCACCCTTCACTTTTCTTTGGAAATCTAGTACAAAATTGCACTATGTCAGTTTTACAGCCTGTTTATTATATTTCACATTAATAACAAAACAGTTTTGATAAGTGTTTGATTTTATATGCAAAGTGTGAACTGTTTTACATTTTTGTTAAATACTGATAATGTCTAAAATGGACAAACTATGTCTTGTCTAAATGTATAAATATAAACAGTGCCTTGCACATGGCATTGACACAATGCTAGATACTAGTGACTAGAAAGGCAGCAAGCTCTATTTTAATTACATTTCTTTATTTTGTTTTTCAAACTTACTTTATGAGCTTGAAATAATAAACATATTGGACTGCTAGATGTTGTTTGCTTATTGATCCAGCTCTGCAATGAAACATTTTTTATAGCCTTTGTTCAACTTGAGCGAATCTTGAAAAGCAACCATATGCATATCTCAGATCTGAGGGTCTCACAGCACGAGATGTTGACTGTGGTCTTCTGGGTTGTGTTGCCATGTGGCATTGTAGGTGGTTACCAGCATTTTGGAAGAACACACTGCTTACATCTTCAGGGTTGAACTTCACAACCCACAATACCACATTCAAAACTATACACATGGCTATCATAATGGTGTCAATATAATATATTAAATCCTTCCTACACAGACATGACATGGTTGTCAATGTTTATAAACACCTTCCATTAGTGAAAGCAATAAGCTAGATCATAAGTGAGGTGCAGACTGTAATTACACCAAACACCAGCTGCCATGCAACATAAAATGAGAACTCAGTCATTATGTCTGATATGCAACTCTAAATTATAGGCCACTTTCCTCAAAATGATCATGTATCAACTGCTGGGGTTCTGTACAGCTGAATTAAGTATGGTCCGGAAGTATCTATAGTGAATGTCATCAGGGATGTACGAGGAAATAGCATGGCCTATTTTAAACTACAAAGACAGACGTATTAGCACAGCCAACTGTGAAAGACAGAAATATTCATACTCACCTCTGTGAAAACCTCAAATCTTACATACTCCAACATCTTTACAATTATTCACACTCATTCTAAAATCAACGCTTATAACATGGGGGTGAGATAGATTCGTTAAACGAAATAAACTTGAGAAAATATATTATGTTTGAATCAAGATAAAGCCAAATGGCTACATATTGCTTTAGCAGTGACAAACACAAGATATTATTACAAGGCTTCGGTGACTTGGATAAGTGTTAGAGATATTAAGCGTTGAAATTAACCAGCAAATTAACTTCATGTAGACCTTACAAAGCTGATAGTCCCTCAGCTATCTAAGAACTCTCCCGCCTTTTACAGAACACGAAGGCCCATTACTCGTAGACACGAGCCAGCCACCCGTCCCTATATTAAGCCAAAAAGTATCCACTCCACACCCTCATTTCTGGGTTATCTTCACTTGCTACGCTCCAAGATCCCAGAAGACAGCAATCTTAAAAATTAGAGAGGCCTATAATGGTAACCAGAACTTGCAGTTCTACAGCGTTCCGAGGACTACCGGCTCATAGAGGTATCAGTAGGTAACATCGCATTCGGAAAGGCCGGGTGTTCGTCTCTCCATACTGTCCATCGTGACCGAGGTCACACTCACTCTTTCAGTCCTTACAGGAAAACGCCCACTACACCCCTCAAATTCTGTACAGATGGATGCACTTGACTGCAGTCACCGTTAAAGCAAAACTGAAGAATAAAGACTGGAACATTATATGACACTGCAATGGGTATTTATAGACAGCTGATGCACATCGATGTAACTGGAGATGAAGCAAGGTGGCAAGTTCTGTCACCACTTGTGAATGATCGGCATTACGAAAGAAGACAGATTAATCGATAGTGTCAACAAATGAATAATTTGCTTGTTTCAATGCTACTGCAGTGATCTAAGGCGTGCAGAGTCTTGGGCAGTTCTAACACTGAGATCGTGGGTTCGAATCCCACTCGGCTCATGTATGTTCGTTCGCGTTTTGATGAGTTGTATTCTTCTGCGTCGGTCTCATCCACCGTTCAAAGAACCCTATCAAATGTGGAAAATGATTCATAGTTTCGGAATAGTGCATTGTATTACCCTCTTAATTAAAATATTTAAAGCAATTAGCCTGTTAATGACAGTATGTTTCAATATTGACCTGAAGATGGTATTTTAATATCGAAACAAGCCACTATTTAATTCATGAAGAACCAAGTTACGAATGACAACAGAATTTAAGTTAAATTTTAGTTTGTGGGTGTTCGTTTTATTTATTTTGTTAGGCTTCTTCCCAGCCGCTAACATTTTGAGTGATTAATCAATCAGTTAATCCACTATTGTAATATAATAGTTGAGGATCGGCCTTCAGAAGGGCGGACAAAACAAGTTCTTTGACCCACGTCGATCAGGTGGCGTGGACTTCAGATTAATAACGTAGCCTCAGGGGCATGAAGTCCCATAACCGAAAAGCGTAGCGAGGAAGAGAACCTTCGGAGGGCGCCTCGGTCATCCCATGACCGAAATGTTGCTGAATTATGGTGGGGGGGGGGGGGGGGGGGGGGGGGTGAGAAGAAAGAGTATGATAGATTAAAAAATATGGATGTAGAAGGAAGATAGCATTAGAAAAATTGAAAAGGGAAATACGGTAGTTTAAAGAATACAATAAGTCTCTGCAGAAGTGCTGAAGCTTTGGGAGAAAGAAGACAGAAATATAAAAGCAAGAGAGAAATTGGAGAGATGAGAGGGTGAGATAGGACAGTGCATGGGAAGTGACAGGCGTGAAAGGCTAACACAGAAGGCAGGAAGGATTAAGTTTAATGATGAGAATAACAGAGGAACAATATTACATGGACAGACAAGAAGCAGAAAGGAAATGCAGATGGAGACTGATAAGAATTATACATCAAGAAAGTACAGTAGAGATCAACAAAAGTTATGTAAAGGGTACATATTACCTAACATAAAGTATTTTCACTGACAGTGCTGAAATATTAACAAATATTAAAAGCTCTGACGGACTGTTATGCCTCAGACACCTTATACTTCTGGTAAAAAAACAAAAATGATTACATATCAAGTCAAATATAGAAGTCTTGTGTTTTTATAAAGTTGGGAAAGATCAAACGTCATTTATTCTTCTGCCTATACACAGAATGAACTAGGAAGAACTTAGGTAGCTTTTAAGAAACAGAAAACCAATCCAGTTGTAACTTTCAAGGGCACCAACTTTATGAAGATCACAGCTATGTTTAGTCGGCCATACATACTTTTAATTAATGTAAGAATATGAGTTTACTTAATTTTTATACTATGTTTGTAAACATAAACACACAATAATGACATATTTAAAATATCAAATGTGATGTCCATACTTGTATTCTTGAGAAGTGAAACAAAAAATCTGTAGACTGGGCATTATTCATTCTGTGGCTTCGATAATAACATGTTAGTTTTCAGAGAATTACTCTGTCACTGTAGTCAGGTAAGAAGGGTCCTAACTGTATAGTCTGTTAGACTGAGCTACTCTCAACAGACTGAGAGAACAGCAAATAAGGTCAGGTAAAATTCATACAAAAGAAGGAAGTCCACCTTGGTCTTTGATGTCACATTAACAGGGTACAGATTTGACAAGTTATAACAATTTCTTCATAGTTTGATGTAGTCTTTATCTGTCCCAAAAGAAAATACAAGAAAGCAATATCCCCTTAACCTTTATTGACTGTGCTTCACGGCTTATGCACAGTTCATTTGGCTGTGTGTTGCACAAGCATATTGCCAAACCATTGACCCTACAAAGTCCAAATGGCAGCCACATTACACAGCAGTTTAAATAGCCTATTCCTGTACAATAAAAGTTAATAATATCAGTGTGTCACAGCTGCAAAACTTATACATATAACAAAATAAATAGATTATAATACAATATAATAAAAACTTTTACAATGTAAAAGTAACAATCAGCATTTATAAATAATGCTGCTTTTTAATAACTGTTAAATCAAATTCCTCTTAATAGGAGATCTTAGATCCATAAAGACCTTTAATCTAGTAATAATGATCTGAATCATACACCGACACATCCAACAAATCTGTAGACTTGCATTTGTCTATGTGAAAGTAGCCTGTCCATGCTGAGGCTTAGCGTATGCAGTTTGGAATTATTATACACATTCTGCTTTCTATTAAGGAATGCTTTTAAAAATTGTAAGTAAGCAATTTTAGTGACAAATTATTCATTCATACATGAATCATTCCTCAGTGTACGGGCTACAGTATTTTACCTGTGTGTCTTCCTGTTGGTACACAACTTTTGCCTCATTCAAAATGATCATCTATCTTTACCACCATCTAAAAATGGTTTTTCAATGGGCCAGTGATATAATTTTTTTAAATTCATAAACTTATGTTTCTGACATCTGCCCATTGGAGATAGAGAAGGGTCCATTTCTGTTCACTTTCAGTTATATGGTAGCAAGGGATCTACAGCTTAACATGCCATCTTGATAAGGCATTTTCAACATTCATAAAGTTCTGACTTTGTTAGAAATAGGGAATGAAAGATGAATGCGAAAGAATGCACAACAGATTTAATTAATGTCAGACCTGAGAAATTCTGCACCAAAGGCCAGTGTTTTGCATTTAGACCATATGATTCCCATTATAGAATGGAAACTTTCATGGTTCTGGCTTACAGTAGATACTGCACACTTCAATCTCAAGACTACATGGAAATCATTCAGAAGACAATGGCAGTGTATCAGACGAAATAATATTAATCCCACAAACTAACCTTAGCATATGAAGCTTACTTTTGAGCCATTAAATGCTCATACATAGTATAATGATACTGTACTTTGAATTTTATGAAAAAATTAACTCTTATTTATAAATGCAGAATTTGACTGCAAAGTTTAACCCCTGTGACATGCCATCATCCATTACATCACAGACTATTCATATAATCAACATGGACAAATTCAAGTTCTCTCATACATTCAGAATATGAAACCAGTCTGAGATCTAAATTTCATTTAACAGCTGATATATGAAAAAGGAACATAAATTACTGACATGTTTATATGGCTCAAGTATCTTACAGTTCTCTCTAAATGGTAGTATTGCTGTCAAGTGCAAAGCGCATTTCAATTTTTCAATCTTCAGTTCAATGTACTGCACAGGCAATGCTGATCCTTCAATTAAAGGAATTTTTTTGGAATGTTGGTGATAAATTTGCAATACACTACTGATTTTTAGAGAAATACGCAAAATTGTTCAATAATCTTTTTTTAATATATTACATGCCATCTTTTTGTCTTCCAAATTTAAAAACATTAAAAAAGAATACAATTAAAAATTCACACATCCACATACACACTGCATCACAAGAATGATATCTTTGGTTTGTAGCTAAATATATGTGTACTTAAAGCCAAGTATGGTACTTAAAATTATTAATATTTCACAGTACTTTCTGGATGGTGGGGGGAAATGGCTATATAAAACTCATTCCAGTCTTTTTCAGCATCCTTCATGGTCCACATCATCTAGAGATTCAAGCTGAGTCCAGAGGACACACAGTTTATTCATTCATCTCTTTACAACTTTCGAAATGAATTGTGATTAAACTGCACATGATGTCAACAACAGCTTCATTGCCAGCAGGGTTCAGGAACATCTCTCATCACTGGATGCACATAAATGGAACAAACAATTTGTATCCTAATTAATTACTTTTTTTGTCTTCTTCATTTATTGATTATCTCCTCTGGCCTGTGCCAATTCGGAATTAATTCTGAGGCAATGAATCCTTTGGCACACCAGCACAAGAAGACTTCGTGGACAAGGGACAAAGTGGCAACTGTTTCTTCTGCTGTTAATGAATCTGCTCTACTGACAAGGCTTGTATCAAACAGAATACTGAGACACAGCAGCCATTATACATCACAAGTGTCCAAATAAAACACTTCTATAACGAAACTTGTTTCTAACCTGAACACTTCACAACACCATAGTCTGGACCAATGATTTTGGCTATGGTAAATCTTTAGATGATGAAGAACACAAAATGAGAGAAATGCCAATTTGTCTAGTAAGCATGGGGTACTGCTACTGAAATGAAAGTACAAATGTACAAAAATTATTACATAAGGAAGTTCTAACATTGTAACAAAATGAACATTTAAAATAACAACAAAACACTCTAAGACTACATATTAGGCTTAAATTTTGTTTCCTTTAAAACAGCTGTTTATGTTATAATATGCTGCTCATCACTTGTCATAATAATAAATAACAAACAGTTGTCAATTTATTAACAGTGTAAAAAAGAGAGAGGGTACATGGTGAAATGTAAGACAACTTTCCTTAACACAATATATATGTATATATATTACATCATATAATTCTCAGTTGAGAGGTAATGAGCAGTTGTATTTACATAACAGTCTTAACATGTATAACTTTTACTTTTGGATGAGAATTGTAAAACTCTGGACAAGAATCTTAACATGAACCATGCAGATCATGTTCTCATTCTTCAGTTCAGTTCACATTTGCTTATGTTATTCCCTTTATGGTTATGACAGAATGCAACAAATTCACACCCATTTTTTGCTTTATGCAATAATGTTACAACCTCACAAAACCATTCGATATCATTATAACTGTGGTGATAGTTAATGGACAACAACATAACCATTTCATTAACAGTATAAGGAATTCATTGCACGAAAGCATTTTTATGAACCTCTGCTCTGTAGGGTACTTGACACGCAATTTACCACAGAAAGAGTTAAGAAGTAAATATAAATTAATAGGGCACTCCTAGCATATTTGTTTCAGAAAAGTACAATTGGTGTGGTGATTTAAAAATTCTGGTATCAAAACCTATAAAATAAACTTTTTGTAGTCATTTTGAGATAGGAACAACATATTAATTATGGTGTATGTGTATGGGAAGAGGTAAGCAACTGACAGCAAATGGTGGAGATCATAGTTTCTGTGGTACTTGACATGCACTGACACATACTTACATATGCAATAGCACTTGAGTACCTTAACAGATTACACAAAAAGAAAGCAGGTGCAGAACAGGAATTGGCCAATATTAAACGGGTAATCCTGTTGAAGTCTGATGAGCTTCTTCTAGAAATAAGTAATACTGAATTGGAAGAATTAAATAAATAAATTACACAGTATGACAGCAACAAAACTGATCTTATTAATGAAAACACTGTTATTTTACTTTAAAAGTGTTGTCTAACAGAATGCCAAAGTTTTGTTTTGTTACATTTGTTTCTCTGTAATGAACAAAACCTCAACTATCCCTTTAGATTGAAAGACAATTCATGGCAATGTTTCAGTCATCCTTTCACCCAGAAGTTAAAAATGGCTACCATGTTGCACCATCCAATCTTTCAGCAGACTACTTAACTCTACGTGACTATATATGGCTACCACCACATATATACATTATACTATCCTCCCTCAAAGAAATAACTCTCAGTGAAAATACCATAACTACCAACAAGTTACTGCTGAGTATTAAGACTGTCTGTCTGTGTTGTGGTATGGAACACATCCTTGCCATCTGGTACTGCTATATGCATTTCAGTATTGACAAATATTATAGCCTGAAAATCGATACAAATCCACTGACATCAACACAATTAAAATGTGGAGCATATAAACACTGCCACAATTTGTTTTCTGTCAAGTGTAATTTAAATACATATACATGTATGTATGGGCAAGATCTTTCCTGATCTGTGAAAATTTATTTTAAGTCAGGAAACCAGTCTTTTTTAGTAGCAGCATCTATAATATAAATATGCTATGCAGTATCTTGTCTTCACTCTAGAAACATTTATGTTATTTTTCCAATACAACTGTTCATACCAACTGAGATATATCACCTTACTGTAAATATCTCTACATATAATGTGAGTTGGGATTACCATCTGCAACAAACCAGTTTCAGCTATGTACATGGTAAACATGCCATGTACAAGAGTTTACTGTAACTATCCCAAGATACTGCAGTGTCTTTTCAAACTTTCTAATTTCTTAGGAGGTTGGTACCCAAGCAGCCTCTTTGTCAAAAGGAAGAACAGTGCAATAGAGCAACTGAGGCAGGGAAGCCAATAACTACTGAAGGTAAAATATTAATATATTTTGGTGAATTATAATTCTGATTTACAGTATGGCAAATGTAAAAGTTCCAGGTGAGTGATAAGCTTCACATTCTGGCCGCTTTACTCCTGAGAAAGGATACCTCTGTATCCACAGAGTGAAAGGCAAAGTGGCCCCACAGTGAGTCAAGCTCATGACTATTTTAACTGTTTTACCAAAGGTTATTCAGGGATGAGTAACACAGGAAGATGATTACTTATAACGGGGGCTACGCTTTACTTCAAGGCACTGTCTGAGACTCCAGTATACCTGAGGTATAATGAGGACTGAGGTAAACCAAAATATCCTAGCAAAGACTGAAACTTGGTACCTCTCAAGTATAAGACAGATGCATTACAACTGCCCCAGTTTGTTTGGTTTTTGACTTAGGAAAATGGTGAAAAGATAGATTCAATCTTGAAACAAGAAAGCAATTTACATATAAAACACAAATATGAGTTTTAACACTTGGAAACACATCAGAAATTACTAACAAATTGGTTCTCAAATAACTACTTTTAAGTACAAAATACTACACTATCTGGTATATCTGTTTAATAAATTTCATTATTTCATACTTTAAAGCACGACTGTATCCAGATCATATTTAATTTCTCTCTCTCTCTCTGCTCAGCATGTTTTTATAAGATTGCTGTCTTCTGGGTTATTGCACCGAGTAGTCTGGTAGATTTCCACCAACGTTTCAGAGGTCACACTGCCTCCATCATCATCCTGATGACGGAGGCAGTATGACTTCTGAAACTTTGGTGGAAATCTACCAGACTACATGGCACAACAGCCCAGAAGACAGCAATCTTCAGATTCACTGCTGTGAAAACCTCAAATCCTACATGTTTTTATAAATTTTCAATAAATTCAACAAGTCATAACAATTAAAGGATAACATATGTATAAAAATTATACACAAACTGAATAATTTGTATTAGCTGAAAAGGTGTGTACTATAATTAAATATAATGATGATGTCATTTCAAAGCCTTTATTCCCAAGGTTAAGAGCATATGATCACAACATGCTGTTAGCAGGGCTTAATTAAATCAGTTTATAGTTAACAAATTAGTATGAGACATGCTTGAATGTCTCTTTTGTTTAATAATGTAAAAACCACAAGACTTGAGAAAACATGAAGTGTATGTTTCATTTTTTATATTCAACTTCTGTTTGAAAATATTTTTGCTCCAATAAATATTTAGTGGGGTACATTCAATATGCGTGCAGAAACATGTGTAGGTCTTAATCTAAAGTTCCATTGCTGCTGTTCAGTTTTAACCAAAACCACAACGTGCTAACATATCATCATCAGCATTCTTCAACATGGTTTAACACTGATTTCAGTCTGCAGAAACACATGTATGTCCATGTAAATCGTCTACTATTGCAGTCAGACCGACAGATATGGTGAAGCTAATAGGAGCATTGTTCCAATTTTATTGCAAAGCAGCCTAAATACTGATTCCTACATGGCTAAAATTGTACACAACTGAAATACTATTTCAAGGAGTTCTGAATTAAATATGGCTACATATCACAAGAATTTTAATATAAATAACTTTTTTCCTCTTAAGAAACTGTTTTTATTGGCAGCCACTGCAGTAACATGTAAATAGAATGTGTATTATTTTGTGTACTCTGTTTAAGAATCCCATCTCACATTACACATTTCATACGATTACGTAGCAGAATACATCTGCAGCAGGTAGAGATAGCTCAGAGTCTCCTTGGGCTGTACACTGCATCGTGGTTCAATAATATGCTGACATTTTGGAAGTCCTTCTGCTTCCACTGTCACAGCTGATGTAAGGTGAACTGGACAGGTGCAAATATGGTGGGGTGATGCAGTGATAGAAGAACCTAGTTTTAAATCAACAGAGGAAGTACACTCCAAGTCTGATGTTGCTTAACCCTGCTTTTGTATCTGAAGATGGTAACTCAAAGAGCAGGCCAAAATCAGTGTTACTTAAAAAATTTGTGGAGTTTTAAAAGTTGCACCTCTTCCTAGGTAATATCCTTCGTCCCTATAGAAATTATCTGGAGGGAGGAAAATTCTGATGAGTGACATCTTTGATATGCTATTCTTTGTCACCATGAGATCACCAGCAGGCCTGACACACACATCAACAAAACAGTTATGGTAAGTTATATCATCATTCTGTCCATTAATTGATTGTTAGAACTTAATACTTATATCCACAAAATAAGCATTTATAATGTCAGACAAATACTACAGAGTAGACTAAGAAAAACACTTTCTGGGTATCTGAAATTCTTGAATGATACAGTCAAAACATATTTCTTAGGAGGTCACATTCATGACTTTTGACTATTTCTTTCTGAATCTCTCTTCTAACTGCCAACACCATAATTTTTGCTGTCAGAAGCACTGCCTCTTGATTCACACGATTACGGCCACATTTAGAGACTACCAGCTGCAGTTAAGTGCTGGTAATAGGAACAGTGATCCCTAGAACCTGCATTCAGAAAGAATGGACCACAAGCGGGACTGGACTGGTCATAAAAATACATCTCCAGCCAATACTTTCAACAGAAATGAACTCTGTATCACAAATAAGGCAACATTTAAAATCTGCCATGTATGGTTAAGTGACACTGACTGTGATCTTCACCTTCACACAGGTTATGCAACATTTTCTTCATATACTTGGAGGACGATGATCTATATTTACTCCCCAAGTACAGTCACACAACACTAGTCTTTGCTTTTATCTGGAAGCTGACTTCTGTTGTGCACTGCCCATAACTATGACAGCTGCTTATCCCCACTCCATTCTTACATCACATCACCACCTATCCAATTTACATTGCAACCACAACGTGGCTCAGAGCCTGAGAAGACTTCACTGAAAAGCTTGAAGGCTTGTTTCATGCCATTGACCCTGAAGTTGTTGTCACACATTTCTCAAGCGTACCTTTGCTCTCACTGTTGGATCTGACTGCCTTGATGGTTGGCGGGGAGGAAGCAGCTCCTGTGGCAGTCATGGTCTCTGTCGACGTAGGACACGAGACAGTCGCGATGGCAGGCGTTCCAGCAACGCTGCACTCAGCCGATGTACCTCCTGCTGCCGTATTATTATTATTGGCACTGGTACAACTACGACGACGTCCCCCACCATTGCCATTCTCACGTGTTGGAGATTTCACATCAAACACTGACGTGTCACTCTCTATGTCTGATTCAACCTGAAAAGACGTGCACATGTCACAACGATAGAGTGCTTCCTGACATATAGGATCATCCCGACTTTCGGAAATTAAACCACGATTTATGCATTTACAGTGATAAAATGTTATAGGTACATACATCAGTATATGTAAAACTGCATCCCATCACATAAGATTTTGAAAGTGACCAACCATAGCCTCTTTGCACAGTTGAACACAAAGAGGTCAAACTGGGGAATATATGTTGCAATGTGTCTATAGGAACAACTGCAACTGCATAATGTTCTGTGTGAGGTCATAAATGATGCAAGGTCTGTTTGTGTAGACCTTCTCATTCAGTAGGCCATGCGGAAAATTTTTTGACACGTTAAATCCGGAGATCTTGTCGACCATATGTCACTTGACATAAACCATGTATTTTCCAATTTGGAACACTGTAGCCAGTTGAGAATGTGACAGAATATACGGGGGGGGGGATAATTTTCCTCAACTGACTACTGAGCTCCTACCCTTTCACATGGTATCATTCATACTTTATCCATGTTTATTTGAAGGATTATTTCAACAGTATGAATCCCTTCTGTTTTCCTACTTTAGGCACCTCATGTTTATGTCTACAGGCCCAAACATGTAAAACTTCCCTTGGAATGTCATAGGAAGTGAATTGGAAAAGTACTTTTCTGTTTACCTACACGCAAAGGAGCAAGCTGACAAGTTAGGTATTTCAGTCTCATCCTTCTATAAACAGGTCATTCAAATATAAGTAAAAACTGTTTTTTAATTAAAACCAAGCTAATTAACTTGAGTAATGTATCTCATAAGATTGAATTCAAATAGAAGTACAGAAGTTTCTATACAGTCTTTGAAATCTACATACATATACTGTACTAAACATCTCTAGGATCCAGAATTCTCTTCATCCATACTAAATTTCTGTTGTAGGAGACCCTGTTTTTATAGAAAGTGTCACAAAATGCCTAAAACTTAAGTGACTACCTGTCTAGTGCCTGGGTATGGGGAAAGTCGCTCTGAAGTGTCTGACCCACAGCTAGAGCTCTCACTAAGTTCAGTAGTAAATTTTCTGGTTGCCCGAGGAGACGGGGGTGGGCGACGACTGCACACCTGTGACTGGATGTGTTCGCACACACGCCGGAACCGACGAATGTTACCTGCATTCAGACAAACAACAGTGCAAGTTTTGTGCCAGGGGACCCATATGCCACATCAGATTTTTCCATGTGGTTTATCTACTATTTGAATATCACAATTACCGACTACTGGTACTATGCTGAGATTGGAACACAGAAATTGACTTTGAGCAAGAAGAAACCTGGCTGTTATCCCTTTCAGATAATTCAACTGTCAGAGACTCTGGAAGCTGCTAGATTACTGACTGCATGCCCATCATGATCAGTAATAGTTTGTCACGAGCCTCTGCACCCATTACCTGAAAGTAGAGTAAAGGTGATGGCATAGAGGTATTCTTTGGGGCTCTCGCCAGCCTGCTTGGTGATGGTTGACACATCCACCTGGAAGCGAACTTGTCTCTGAAACATGGCTGGTGCCGTTGATCCCCTCTTGTACTCCACTCGGAAAGACATGGGGCTTGACACGCTGTGGCTCAATTCTGCTATCTGCAAAGAAATAGATTCAATTCACTTCAGAACTGGCAGAAAGAATCTGTCACATGGTTTAATTACAAGTTTGATGTTTGTTGCCTCCTACTTTACTTTGTGGTACAGCACCAACTAAATAATTTACGTCAAAAGGTAACTGATAGAATGACTGTGAAAGTGAATCACATGGAATATGCAAAAAAATCAATGTTGTCTTATATTCACTTGGATGCACTGATGAACACACAATGTGGGACAGTCGGTTCCCAGCTAGGACCGTAACCAAGAACAAGAGAAGGTCAACTGCATTACCATTCATCAGACATACTTGATTACACAATTTCCCCCAAAATGGTTCTCACTGGTTAACATGATCCAAAATTATAAATTTGGGTTTGAATAGTATTAAGAATTATGAATGTCTGTTAGTGAAGGGTCAAAGTGCAGTGTTTCAGGGAAAAAGAGAGTCATAAGACATTCTACCCTATTATTAGGCTTTCTCTGTCTACAGGAAGGCCCTCAAAGTGGGTAGAGATTAACAGTACTCATGTCCTAGGCAGACTTTGAACCCACTAACAGTATCAGCAGCACATACTACTTACTGACAGGAAAGCATGAATAAGGTCTGCTTTCACTGTTGCTAGAGGCTTTCCTTTGACTAGAATTGTGAAGGTTTCATCCTTCTCCGTTGTCATGAGGCTACCAAACCAAGACTTTTTGGTGAGCTCAGGTGAGGACTCAGGTGTGAGGTGCACCTCTTCTGATGAAGCTGTAAAGAAATGTACAGGTTTCAATAGGTAGATGCATAAAGTGTCCAGAAACATTTACAGAAAAATGTCTATGAACAAATACAGAAATATTAAAATTTATGAAACTCTTCTCATCTGCCACCCAAACACTGTGACCAACATTGATTATACCATGACAAAGCAAAGACAGCATGCAACAACAGCCAGTAGACCAACATGTCCAGGTTAAGTAACACAGGCTGTGTGATGAATGGGATGAATGACCACCTAACTCCACCCACTGACCCTACTGGTTTACTTGCAGACAAGGACGTAGGGCTATAAGAGTCAGTCTTGGGTACAAATACAATGGGCTGTTGTGCCACTTGTCACATCAGCCTTGACAATGGAGACAGAGATGGTTTCTGAAACACTGGATTGTAACTCCATACTTATATGGCAGATAAACTGAGAATACTTCATTGCATTCAGTCACTGCAAAAGCTTAAAATCTTTAAATGAAAAGTACTTAAGTGATGGGAACTGGAAATCTCATGTATCACTTTTAAACTAAAAATAATCAGCTGTGAATGTATCTAAGTGTGAAGCATGCAGGTACATCACATATCAGTAATGTTCATTCAGGTTTCAAAATAAAATAAATGTGTGACCGACTTTGCAGTTTCCTCCTGTGAAAGCGTGGAGAGCCAAGGAAGCTGTTCTTGATGGTTGTTAGTCTTGACCTCCAGTGATGTCCTGTCGTACTGGTGTGGGGCGAGCCTGGAGGGGTACAAGGTGCAATGTTACTAGTACTTAGACCTGAAACAAACAGCAGATACTTGTAGTGACTGAGCTGCAGGAACATCTGATTCAAACTGATTACATTTTACCCATTTATGGTGCGTGACCAGCACTGAAAATATCAGTATGTAAGTCATATCTGCCAGAAAATAATAAAAGTGTATCTTGAAACACACAACAATATGAAGAAGTTTTCTCTTTGTATGTTGCACCATATAGTAGTTGGACTAAATATAACAAATTAACAAAGCACCCATTCAAATTCAAGGGAACATCCGAGAATCGTAAGTTGAGAAATGTTTCTGTGAATAAATTTTGATGTAGAAAAATAATACTTGAAATTAATTTAAACATTTTTCATAATTATACTGATGGTATATCTTAAACTATAGTGAAACAAGGCACATAATATCTAAAAATAACTATCACTAAAAAAAATAATAATAACACAGATAATACTCAATTTACCCAAGAGATACCTATCCAGTAATATTTGAAGTTATTAGTAAACAATTACAATCATGTTTCTGAAAACTGGAATTGAGCCCATGCTGCTTAAATATAGCACTCTGCAACATAATGATGCTCAGAAAAATCAGAGACATAAACATGTTCAAATTTTCTTCCACAAATTTTGTTATGTTTAGAGATTCAAGCACTGTTACTTAAGTACAAGTCTTAAAACTACCTGTGGAAGTGTCGTTGCTATCAATGGTAGTTCCTCCACTACTATTGGCTCGCTGATGATGAGGTGAAGGTGGAGCCAATGCTGAATGAGCATTAGTGGAACCGTGTGCTGGGCGGTGGTGATGGTGGTGGTGATGTGGAACTGTGCGCTGACTCACTGGTGATAAGATACCTGTGTCATAATTATCACCAGAGGTCTTTAACATAATGTGAATCTTCCTTGCTTTAGGAATTAAAAAAGTAACATCTTCCCTCACAAAAACCTTTGAAACAAGTGAAGAAACTTCACAAAGCTAAACATTAACCACATGCCACTATAGGACCTGTCCATATTTAAATTTCATATCATCATTTGTCAATATGGTGGTAAATGAAAGATGGTGTCAACTGGTTGACACTGTTATTTCATATTCACAAGGTCTCAATTTCAAACCTCAGCAAAGAGACATCCTATCCTGGAAGATTCTTTTGTAGTATCCCTCAGCATCTCAAGTAAAATGGTGGAATAGTAGCTTAAAGTAGCCCAAGATCACTTCCATCCACATCCTTTCCAATTCATTATTCACTGATCATCCTACCAGTTGACACTATACAATCTAGCAATTGCAAATGTCGTTAAATAAAATGAGAACAAATAATATGATGGTCACATGTACCAGTGGCACTAGCAGCAGCCCATTATCAGAAAATTTATACTTGATACAGGCAACAGCTTCTACATGTAGTCAACACATGTCATATGCTTCCAGCAAAGAAACTGTTGCAAAAGTGCAAGCAGTGTTGTACCACAAATAACATGACTTTCATGCTAACAGGCCACAGGGACGGCTTATATTATTCTGAGCTCCACAGTAAGAGTTAAATGAATGAAACTGCGGTGGTAAATCTGCTTACATTCAGTATACCAGCTTATTCAAACAATTTTAGGTTATTTAATGATACGGCATCAACTGCAAGGTTTCCTAGCACTGAACCAAATCTGTAGGTTGAACTGGAAACAAATGTCTATTTAAAGACACTGTAATAGAACCTGGCTGGAATGACTGAGGAAAATCTTAAACAACTTAATTAGGATATGCAATGGTCCAGCAAACATTATAACTGTGTGACTCTTCAATGTAAGTCCAAAGCACGACTCTTCCAACCTGCTCACAACTTTTTATGATAATTTGTATTGTGTTTATGTCTAATATTTGCTCAGCTACAACATTTCATTAATACAGTATGTCAGACTTTACTGGGTCCCTAAACATTTTGGTACTCTACCAGAAAGCGTCGCCGACGCAGCATTGTTGAAAGTTGTATGCAGAGGGCTGGGAGTGGCAGAGGAATTCTGTAAATTCGTAGGATGACTACCACTTCCGGGTGACCGCCGGTTGTGATGTCTTGTGGAACCACTGCTGAAAAAAAAGCAAATTCTGTCACACCAAATAGCCAAGAAAAATATGTTTTTATATTTTAAAATATTATGTATGTTGTCAACACTTTGCATGATTAACATCCTAGAACAAATGTTCCTTGATACATTGAATACACTAAATATAGTATAAGACAGGATATTTAACTGTCTCATTCAGTCAGGATACAATGGATCAACTTACCTATTAGAAACCTACTGGCTTTGTATTAATTGACAGTATTTTATAGTAATAAGCAAAGTAATAAATCCAATAATTACAATATAGAGTGACCATTTAAATGGAAACTTTATGGTAAAATGTAGCAAGAGACCGGAACATGCATAAGAAGTAGAAAATATCGCATATACACAGATATGTCATATTATTTGCTAGCTCTGAAAGGTATTAACAAATAATGGTCATACAATTTTATTTGCCTGTAACAGAAATTGATATGGCTTCAAAGAGTTTTCACTGGGCCCAACATCTTGTTCCACTGCTTATAAGGGTCAAAATAACGTTCATTCTGCTTTCCTTATTAACTCTTCAAAATCCCAGTGGTAACTATATGTACCACCCACCAAGCAATAGCTCTACAATTTGCCCACAGTGTATCAATTGGTTTCATACAATTCTCACAATATTTTCCAATTGTTTCTTTAAACTGCACTGACCAAATGATCTTTGTAATGGAGACAGATTGTGTTTTGTTTGAGGTATGGATTATTAAAAATTGTTTAGACAAGCCTCGTGTCCAGTTACAGGACAGCATATATGATTGGACATACTTGAACTGCTGTCTGCGTGGTGTAAGCGGAGAGCCCTCACTGATCTGACCAAATTGATATGTAGCAGTCCCATTCACTTTGCATGTGTCAATTCTTTTCCGCGGTGGGTCACTGGACTCTGATCGAACACGGACAATTGCCTCTGTGTCATCCTCGAATGCTGGGCGGCGACGCTTTCTCTCCAATAGAAGGAAGTAGATAACTTTCTCTGTGTTATGGCTGTCAAAGAGTAAAAGCAAAAAGAATTATTGTTAAACAAAATTTAGATCTCAGACCAGACTCTATCTATGATCTGTACTCAGGACCAACATTCACAATAAGAATTATATATAAATTTTAATTGTGTGCTTGATATCCAACAATATACCACTAGATCTCGGCAGAATATTTTAACTACTGTAGAATTCCTAGTGACCATGTCACAAATATAGAACCAGCAAAACTATAAAGAAAATTTACTTTACTTACTTTGGACTGAGCAATTCCTGAATGAGTTTGTCACGATCCTTGAAGCATCCAAGGCTGGAAATGGCCTGGAGTACATCTGGATCCATTGCATCGATGGAGGGAATAATGTGTGTCTGAACCACTTCCATCATGGAAAGTTCTAATTCTAGCTCTCCCTTCCCACCAGCTGTCACCCACGGGTGGCGATTAATGTCTGCCAGCTGGAAGCAAGTGATTCAGTGTGTTTAAGGAACGCCCTCCAGTCCACAAGACACATCCTGAGGTGACTGAATAATGCCATGAAAAATTTGCCGGGATGGCTGCCCTTCAAGCAAGGAATTAAACTTAGGACTCCCAAACACAAAGCAGAAATGCTAACCAGTGCAACACAACATTCAGTTAGTTTACTTAAGTATTGTTCTGTTTTACATAAAGTACACACTTTCCCTCTGAATGAATGTGATGTTTACCGAGAGTCGCTTATCAGGGTTGACTTCTATCATCCCTCTTAAAAGATTCTGGCAGTCTGGTGGCACAAAGTGTGGAATATGGAACACACCATGTTTCACCTTCTCCAGCAACTGCCTCAAGTTGTCGTCATCAAATGGGAGAGCACCCACCAGTAATGCATACAGAATTACACCGCATGACCATACATCAGCCTTACGACCATCATATTTCTCTCCCTGCAATTTAAAATAGTCATTGCTTTTGAATATTTCAATGTGAGATAACAAATTCCCTATAAAAATCAAGTAACTGCCAGCTGAAAGTGCAAGTGGTAACACATTCATATCCACCAATCGAAATGTCTGATATAACATGTCATCATGCTAATCTTCTCTACTCAGTCATCTTAACTGCCTGGGCCACGCTGGTAAATCTAGAATATCACCCGGTATAAAAATGAGACTGAACAGTGTGTGTGTATTTTGAAGTCAGTATTCCTACGGCCATCCTAGAACAATTGAACCAAAGTAATCTGGAATAAACAAATTTGTATAGAATGAATAGTGATGACATAAAGATTACTAAAACATATCAATGTGTCTTCAGTTTGCAACTGAAATATAAGTATTTAAAACTTGTTAACATGGATAGAGACTTGCATATCTGAGAATTGTGGTACAAGACATACAACTGTGAAAGTGGTACATACCCTGATAACTTCTGGACAGGCATAGTGAGGTGAGCCACAGCTGGTTTCAAGCATGCTGCCAGCTGGCTGCAATGACGCCATACCAAAATCAGCAATCTTGATATTGTTCTTCTCATCAAGCAGCAGATTCTCAGGTTTCAGATCTCTATGACTGAAGAACACACAAATAACGTGTTTCCATCAAAAGGGTCACTGGAATTTACAAACACAATGCATCACACCAGTTGGTACTTTCAGAACTAAAGTTTAATACACAGATGAAACCTTTCCTTACTTGCCGTACCCAACTTAAAGTCAGTCACATGAAATGCTTCCATCATTCAAATTCACAATTACAAATTTCTATCTTTGCAGTAATAACATTCAGGGTAAAGACCCAAGTCATACAGACAGAGTACTTGCCAGATTGAGTGACTATGGCAGAAGTCCAGAGCTGATATAATCTGGCGGAAAAACCGTCGAGCTTCTTTTGGAGTAAGACGACCTTTCTTCACCAAGTAGTCAAAGAGTTCACCTCCAGAAACATGCTCCAGTACTAAATATCTGCAGTAAATGTGAAACAATATAGGGCATTATCATGATGACTGCAGTTTTGAGCATGACTGAGTCTGTCACATGTCAACACATTTCTGAGGTGGCAGCCCCCATAACGCAGATCCCACTACTCTTATTGACAGGATGATAATGAGGATGTTTCCCCTAAAACATTGGTACCCACCTACAATACCACATGGTGTTACAACCCAGAACCCCAACAATATTTTCACTGCCATGAAAACTCAAATTTAATTTAAATTCCAATACTTTAAGTCTGGTAAAACAAAACTAATGATCAGTGTTTCCAGTGCTGTGACATGTCCTGAAATTATTTTTTTTTTTAGTGACAATATATAAAAATATTTATAACATCTGAAAATGAATTTTTCAACCAGAGCTTATAAGACACTAATTGCACAGATCATGCATTGTAAGTGACTACTGATAATATCTTGTTAATCATGACAGAAGTCAAGTGGAGAAACTCACAGGTATTTCTTGTTCTCATACACATCAGACAGTCCTAAGACATGAGGGTGGTCAATCAGCTTCATTATGGCTATTTCTCTCTCAACCTAGAACAAGGAACCCACAATAATAATCGCTCAGAAAGATGAATGACACTACTATAAGTGCAGTCTGAGTCACACAATCCAAATAACCCGGCACATTCAACTACGTTCATTGGCAAAATACTGGTACAAACTTCAAAAGTATTAAATTTTAAAAGGATAGATTAACATCATACAAGTAGATGTTTGAATCACTGATTAAAGAAACTACTACAAGTAATAAAAACTACAATCAGTACAGTTCTTCAGTTACATTCAAAAGAAATGCCTCTTCCTCTTTTCCCCTCAAAACACATAAAGATTCTCATTGCAACAAAGGGCATTGACATATTCTGTGATGGAATAGTGAAATCAGGAATTTCTTAACAGAAAGAGATAAGGAGTGAAGGATATTGATAATTATGATCAGTCACTATAGTAGACTCCTACAATTCATTGTCAGTATACCTAAGGGCATCATAAATTTATGGAATTTTCAAAGACTGCATTGAATTGAAAGTGAATTTAGTTCAAAATTATAATCCTGAGCACAAGAAATAGTTAATTAAATAACAAAACAAAGGATCACCAACTTATAATAAATGCAAAGGAATGCATCTGCAGGAAAAATAATCAATTTATATTTACAGTATACAGTATTTGCAGTGTCATCACGAACTTCAGAAAGTTAGTAACATCCTGTGAGATATGAGGTTCTCAGGGCAGTGAACATCCACATGCTACTGTAACCCAGAGGACCAACCTCAACAAGTTCTTGCTGCATTACTCACATTACCTGCCCATCATTTTCTCTACTGCAATCCAGACACATCCAGGGATTTAACTGCAGAACTGTGAGCTCTAGCATGAAGGCACTAAACAACAGTTTTTACCAAGCAGTCATCATCACTTGTTGGTACAATATAAAGCAAAGCCATCCCATTACATGCCAAAGTTGGAACTTAGGAAACAGGAGGTCTAGCTACTACTCATTCTCAACCTTGGCACTAGAAGGGGTTGAGTGGTCATGCTTTACCCCTGGGAATGGACCCTGGTACCCATTGAACAGGAGGTTGGCTGGGCCCCAGAGCTAGTCGATGTAGAAGCTAGAACAAAATCCTCTGCCTCTGGTGTGGATCAAAGCCCGATCGCCCAAACCATAGCCAGTCACTCTACTGACTGAGCTACCTGGCTCACATTTGTATAAAATACAGACCAATAATAAGGATGGTTATGAGAAAGCCAATATTGGCGAGCACTGAAAGTAAACTAGTCCGCAGAGAAATGTAGGCAGAACCCCCTAGACAATAAGAGGTATCAAATATACATTCCCTATGTGAAATAGCCAGGATTGACTACTCCATTTCAGGATCAAGAGCTCTGTAGTCTCTTAACATGATGTAGGTCATAAAATGTTACCAATACTTCATAAGAAATATGACATACTTACACACAGTGTGTCCCAAAAAGATGCATACACAATGCTGATGTATGTAATGGCTGTGTGTATACATTTCTTTGGGACATTCTACACACACAGGCCAACACTGAAGATAGTACGAGATGTGCAAAGTTGGCTACTTCACACCATCTCTAGCATTAGCTACAAGGTACTGCCAACATTATTACAGAGCTACCTCATATTAAGATACTGCAAAATTTTGCTCTGGAGATGGGCTGGCCAGTATGTGGTAACCAAAACTGGCTACCTCATAAATATCCATCTGACTAATATTGTTACAGTAAAGATATTTAAAAATTGCTTATATTCCTTATACATCTGTATAGCCCAAAAGCTTATCAAGGGCCTGATTATTTGATATGTCATTGAATAACAGAGATAACATGATTATCTGTGTACCCAACATCTTCAATAAGACTTAAACCCAGGACAGTTTTCAGATTTTTAACCCTCCTGTGATCTTGTCCTGGTCTAAAGGAACAAGCATGCCAAGTCTGGTGCAAATCTGTGCGTGCATCTCCAGATACGGGGAAGCAAACAAACACAAGTAAATATAACCACAATTTCAACTTCATATACAAGAAGAGCTGCATTTGGGATATTTTCTAAATCCTCAAGAATGTAGAAACATTCTGTTTTACTGAGAGTAACATTATTTCAACAAATGAAATACAGTGTTCTGGAGCCTGCACTAAAAATTTCAACACAATCCATTCATGCACCAAAATAAAGTTAAATGGGTGAAATATAGTACATTTGTGGACAATTACCATTCCGTCATCTTCAACCAAATTACCACTCACCTTCATTAAAACAGATTCACTTAACTTTTCCCTGTTAATGATTTTGATTGCCACCTTTCTGCCCATTACACAGTGGACCCCTAGCTTCACCAGCCCTGTGAAAACATACCACATTATTTTCTCTTTCATAAAACATATGAAAGTTGATGTTCTCTAGTCCACTGCATGGCTATTTATGGTAAGAAAGCCCATCTGCTATCACTGGTTTCCAACGCATTAAATACTGTTGTCATTCCTCACCACACAACTCCTGGTGAAACCTATCATTAATAGTATGTATAGTACTGTATGAAGATTTCTGTACTGCAGTGGAGGGACTTCTGTTTTCGTAAATGAGCAAACAACTAAACTGTTGCTCTGGTGTACAATCCTACTTCACATCATAACAGTGTGTTTGTGTGTATATGTTCTAAACCAACCAGCTTTTTCCATGAACTCAAAATACTTTATATGAATATTTTGCTATGTAATGTTCATTGTCACTCTTAATGTAAGCAAAAAACATGAACCCATTCTGTACATGTCTCATCTTTCAGCTGAAGAGACTGTACTATCACCTATCAGCAGACAAATGAACTTCAGATCACATACACCAAATGTGACATTAAGAATGCCAATGAAACTTTTACGCACACGGTAAAGTCCACTCCCAGAACCTGTATAGGCCTACATCAAACATGCTTCAGACACAATAAAATATTGTGGCGTTAAACTTCGCTTCACATATCACATTACAGAAGGTGGAGTTCATATGCTCCACCTGGTATCACAACAAACAACAGTCTACCCTGATATCTGAACATACCATCCTATCTCCCACACTGAATTATATTAAACACAGTAAATTTACAATTTTTTTAAAAAAAGATCAAAAACATTTTCTCATTTTTCTTAGGGGTTTTGTATGAATAAAGTCAACAAACTAACCCCCCCCCCTCCCCATTAGTTTATGCTGAATTTCATCTGAATGTACAACCAAAGTGAAGGAGTGATGACAAGGGATAGGATGAAAAACAAAAACAACCTTCCAGCAAGCTGTACACAAACCTGTGACCAATTAACCAGAAATTCCAGAAAGTTCCATGATTTAACATTCATTTCCTTTATAACCATAGGCAAGGAACTGATTTTGCCACATATTGCTGATGGAAGAAAAGACGTTACTGGTGAAGCTAGATCTAAAGAAATAACGTTGTACCTTTGTTGAAGATCAACTGACAGAGAACAGAAAGCTATTCTTGAGTTTATATGGCATATAAACTACAAAAAAATATATAAATACAGGGTTTCTGTCTTCAAATTGTGTGGGTAATCAACAGGAAATAAATTTTCAATGCTCTTGTAAAATATTGGCATGTCAGCTCAGAGTTTGCTGACCTCTGTCCAATTGTCAGGAACATACAGAGAATATCTGGTTTGGAAGCATATGGTTCCTAACCTGCATGAAAGTTTGACCAAGGATGTTAGTCATAAATAAGTGCATTAAAATCACAATTTAAAATTTTGTATGAAGAAACATGGCCACTGCAGCATACAAAAAGTCAAGTTGCTATCCCACAGAAATATGTAAAGTCACCTTGATGAAATTAGGAAAGAAGTTTGAAATTACCTGATACAATAAGCTGTGGAAAATATGAATAGGAATTTGGTTGGCATTTTGTAGCTCAACCCTCACAAGAGCAATGCGTGTAATATGGTTTCACTGTAATTGTTGGTGATGTTCTAATTTTATAACCAATCTAATGATTTTGGGGGTCACAGTGGTCATGTGGTCTGAGGCATGGGCCTTGGGTTCGAATCCCACTCAAGCCATAGGTAATGTACTGTTAAGTTAATTTTTAAGGAAGATTGTCACTAGACATGTATTCCACACATCATTAGACATTATCAGAAGATTTACAGAATGTCCATATAGGACAGATTGTAAATAATCAGGGAAGTTATAAAAAAAATAATGATTTTAGACTCTCCTGTGTCAATTTACTATTATGTACACTTTTAAAATTATAAAACATAAGTTGCAAAACTCATAACATAAAACAGTGCAAAATAAGATATGTTGACAACTGTCACAACTGCAGTCAGACATAACATCTGATAACTCTGCATTCCTCTATCGGTCTCCGTAAAATTTTTAACAGATACAACTGTAATGCCAGTGATACATACATACACTCACTGCTTATTAATTGTTATAATTTTTGCACCACTGAAATTTTGAAGGAATGTCATTGCGGCATAGTCTGGAAGTAAAATTATTCTGTCACACAAAACCAGTAGCAAAGTTCATACAGACAAACATCTGTGCGATACAGAATAAGCTGAAACAAGAGGATCATTTTGTACCCATAAACCCTGAATTCTGATAGTGCAACTACTAAAACTTTTTAAAAGAAATGTATTTACATAATCTGTTATGAACTGTGGAAATGGGCAGAAATGTATGTTTTCACTCGTATGCGTGTATCAAGTCTCCTTTTATAAACCATTTAATATTTGTGAAAGTATAGGAGGATCTAAGCAAATAAAATAATCATCAGACTAATGTGTTGGTAAAAAACACAGTTCTGAGTACTTTTCTGCAGAAAGATCTGTAATTTCACAGAAAAGAAATAATGTGTTATTACACACTAATATAATGGCTGCTTTTTATATAGTAAACAGTATATTTTCTTTGTAAAAACAACTACAAATGCACTAAGAAATTTTCAAAAAAAAAAAATCTAGCTTTTGGAACATGGCACTGAATAGCATTGGTTCATACACGGATCTTCATATATTTTCCGTGGTACACGTTACTTTGTATGTACATTTCCCTCACAGCCCATGTTTTAAATAACTATCGCAATTTTAAACGTCGACGGCCACTTCAACTATAAGAAGCTATCGGCCGTTTTACAGATGTGTTCGTGCGGTCATGGAAACACGCGATTTACTTCACCTGTCTGCCCTTTGCCAAGGGTCTTCTCGAGCCTGAAGGGCCCAACATACTGGTGATGCTCGCCCACTGTGGGATTATGTTCCTTCTGCATGGCTCACAAATACAAACAACCCTCTTTGCTTATCCTTAGACGCCCCCCATTATCCCTTGTCACAACAACACTTCACGCGTCACGAAAATAAATTCCTACATTATAATATTGAAGCGCTAATATATCCGTCATATTCGTCCACTGCCCGTCACTATTAAACGATGAACAATTGTACGTCGCCATGTTGCAACCATTTTCATGCCCCCTTTTCGTTCCAACCCCTGCTTGACCGGGCAAACGCAGTAGGGTCGCGAGCAGTTGCAGGGGTGTGGGGGCACATTCCGAGTGCTGCGCGATTCTGCGCCTACCGCCTGGCTAACCCCTCCGCGCTCCAGCTGTCGGAATACCAATATTCCATAATCCACAAACTGTTCCGAAAACTAGACACCTCAAAGATGTAAGATATTTTTGTTGTATTTAATTATGCTATCAGTAGCTATAATTAACACAGAAGTTTTACTAGAGGCTAGTAGACAGGTGGGGCTAGAAGTAAATTCAGAAAAAACCAAGTACATGTTAGTATTTCGTCGT